TCTGACTACTAGAGAGAGAGAGAGAGAGAGAGAGAGAGAGAGAGAGAGAGAGAGAGAGAGAGTATGTGTCATGTGGCGAGTCTGAGCTGTAAAAGCTTAATTATCTCTCTACAGGGTGTATCTAAAATTGCAGTTTAATTAGGCTAGTTCTTTAAATGTGACTTAAAATATTTTTTAGCTTATTTTTAGAATAGCAAGCATTTAGCAAAAGCATTTAAAGGGGAGCCATTTCATGAAAAGGGAAAAAGGGAATAGCCTATTTCGGTTGAAATGGTGAAAAACTTGATTTTGTGTAAAAGTGACTTGAAAAGGGCCCTAAAAACCAACCTTTTGAACAAAGCCTTCTGCTTGTGCTTTTAGTTTCGTTAGTTGCTTAGTTGATTTAATTTGTTTTTATTTCTATTTAATTTTTTTTTTTTTTAATTCCTGTAGCACTTTGACATTTTTTTTGCAAAAATGTAAAGTGCGTTACAAATTAAATGTATTATTATTATTATTATTATTATTATCCACGAATTTGTGCTATCGGCTAGCCAATTTTTATTTAGCCTAATTCTTGTGTAGCCAGTATAGACTGTAAATATTAATGGACAAAGCCTGAGGGATGTCACTCATCAGTAACTGCAGGGAGTTCCATCCATCACTGAAAATGCTCTCAACCTAACTTTCAGTCAACCTAAGATGTCTAAGAGTTGTAGTTGAGGCAGGTTTTATGCCTCATGACCTAACCTGTAAACTGTGCCCACCTGTAAAACAGATCAGCTACACACCTCTTTGTGAATAACGGCTTATCCTTCATGAAATCAAAACGGATGTGTTTTCAAAAAATGCACCCCGGTTTTTGCCTAGTTGTGTATGTGACTTCAACTGCTTCCTTAGCCTGCCTCAAGTGGACGCTCAAAAAACTGCAGGATTTTGCACTTCTGCATCAGCTTCATTTTTCAACACTGGACGTTGGAAGCCAGTGGTTGGCCATAACCGACTTCCATCTGATGTCAGATTCTCGCACGTCCGTGAATTACATTCTGCCTGTTTTTTGCTCTACACATGGACAGGTTTTTCCAGCATACACCAAAGCCTGATGATACGTACATGATCAATTCTACTCAAGCTACAAATGTAATACAAGCAGACACCAGAACATGCTCGTACTGAAGTTAAGTCCCAGTCCAGTGACTACAGATTGTACATTTTTTAAGCAGAATCTGTAAATCGAGATTTGAATGAAACCAATCAGAGAAGCTCAATATGGTGCATTTACTCTGACGTTAGAGGCTGTACATGTGGGTATAGTAAATCTGCAGGAAACACAAGTGTGACATTGTTCATGTAGATTATTATGCAACAGTAAATTCCTGACAGATTATTCCATGAGTGCCGAGTAAAGACCAAGACCAAGGCAGTGCGAGACCATGACAAGACCAAGACCATAAATATCACTGAAAAATCATCAACTTGTGTGCATTGGGTGTGTCATTCACTTAGACCATAACAGGTTGTCTCTGTCTTTAGACTACATCACCTGATTGCAGAACTGGACATTGCCTCCTAAGAATAAATGTAAATATGGTTTGTAAAAAATGTAGCTCGATAACACAACCTATTTGGACTTCTAGTGAGGACGGAGGAATGTGTCTGAAATACTGTTCAAATGCTTATATTGCTCACCTTCAAATGTAAAATCATGATGCATGTGGGGCTTTCAGTATCACACTTATCTGGAGCAGGTTATGCAAGTACAGTATATGGAACAGCTGAATAAATGTCATGCTTGAATTAGCAATATACTGTATACACAGCCAACAGCAAACAGAGAAAATGACTTTCAATCTTTGAGATGGAAGTGTTTATTTCCAGAAAGAGATATCTCACATTTGGTGAAGGAATAAAACAAACTCTTTAAGTCTGAGTGCTGGCATTGAAAGCAAGCACAGTTGCTGAGTTGTGACTCATCCTTAGAGTTTTGCTCTCAAAGGGATTTTTTGGAGGATCATCATCTGAGATTGTTGGATGAATTCCGTTGTTTTTTTCTTTTCGGAGATGCATTTAAGGTATTAAATTATATGACTTCTTGAGTCATTTGATCAGTGAATATGATGCTTCATAGAAAGAGCTAAACAGCCTATTTAACCACCTGCTTCTCTTAGTATAGTAAAAGCAGGGGGGATGAATATGCCAGGCGTGATCACAGTGATACAGGCACAGGGGTGATTGATTGTTGCTGTGAGTGTGAAGCATGATATCACTGCAGACAGCAAATAAAAACCTGCTCGATGGCTCCATCTCCATACAAGCAAAATGTAAAATAGAGAAAGATTCACCAGTGGTATTTCTCATGAATGTTTTGGGGCGTCATTTTGGGACATTGACAGCCATGTTCCCAATTGCTCCATGCTATGCACACACATACTGTATCATGGCAGTCAGCTGGCTGTGAGTGACCTAGATGGGATTTATTTAGCTGCAGGACAGATAATGGCATGTGGAGTCACCCTGCTCTCATTAATATAAGGTCTACTGTAGATTGAGCCAGACTTTTTAGTATTTTGCACTTTTAGTCGTACTTCATGTTCGTCCCTTCTTTCAACCTTAAACATTAGAGTTGCACATATCTGCTGTGTTACATAACCGTCTGGCTTGATGGCCGGCAGACTGTAAAATAATAAAAACGGCTTAATTTGCAATGGTGACAGGCATCAAGAGACGCTGGCAGTGACGTTAGCACACCCTGCGAGTACCTGAGTGCATGTATAGACTCTGAGACAGTGACCCATTGTTTCACACATAAGCTGCTGATCTCTTTCAATTTCATCAATACGCAGGGTCTGATGCAACTAATCCCCGGGGCTATTGAACTAGGGCAAGTGTCTATGCCGGCAGTACAGCTTCTGTGTTCTGTAAGATGTGGTTCACAGCAGATATGGCACCGGTGCTGTCTTCACCGAGTCAGATTTAAAACTCTTTCAAATCAATCTTTTCCCATCACTTTCTTTAAACAAATGAAGGTAATGATAAATCGTAGGGTATCTGACACATCTGCTCTGATACTAACAGTTATATTGATATAACAATTTGCTAAATGCTAACAGCTGTTTTGGATGGTAGCTGATAAAACATGATGGCGCAAAGTCCCATCAGATAATAACTCTCAATTAGCTTTTAAGTTGCTTTTGAATCTTTTTGTGATAACATTGATTTCTACACTTCCTAATTCATTGTAAAAAATAGCCTATTTAAGCTATACATACATAGAGTGTGGGTGCGTTCGAATTGTCATTTTTGCTTAGGAAGGTTCCTAACTGAGTGAAATGACCCAGAAGCATTTAAGTGGCGGCCATGATAAGAGCCGTTCGAATTCTCTAAAAGCTAAGGAAAGGTGGGTCAGTGCTTCCTTTATAACCTCCTTTAGCATAGGATACGCTGGACCATCCTTTACGAAAGGAGATGAGATATGCCGCCCCCACAATTCCTTTCGGCCGCAACATTTAAAGCGAGTCGCACGTCAGACCGTTCACGGACATTAACGATGATCGTAAAGTGACGCAGATCATGTAAGGGATAAAAAGATCAAATAAATGTTTAGCCAGATGATGTTTTATTCAACGTATTTCATTCACTTAAGGATGCTTTGTGCAGTTCTACACTTGTATGCTGAAAACATTATTTATATCTTGCATTAATGTAACAATTAATTTCATACGATCATATTTAGTTTGATGTTGATTTCTGAGTGGACAGGAATGTGAAGGTTTCACTTTTGTTACTTGTAGCCTGGTAGTCTATATTGGTTTTATTTCAATCCCAACCTCGTGGTAATTAGGATTATTTCACTTCAAGAAGGAACAGGGGAAATTGTTTTAGAAGCGCTTTTAGGAGTCCATTTTTAGAACATTGTAGTTTCAACACGTCATTAACCTCCGCCGGCCCGTCACATTTAATGACGTGGAAATGTGGTCGAGTTGTCAGAGCAACGCGATCGCCTTTCCCTAAATCCTTTATGAATTCTCCTAACATCTTTCCTTGACCTCATGACGTTTTCCCCGGGGTTAAGGTAAAGTGGATAGTGAAAGGAGATAGGAGGGAGACAATTCGAACGCACCCCTGGTCTTCAGAGGACAATGGATGCCCTCTGAAAACGGTTAATGCCATGCAGCCGCAAAAATGTTCTAAAAGCTCAAAGCTAAATGCCCAGGGCAGCATGCTAGCATGTTCACACTCATAATGCTAACCAGCTTAGCAGACGTGTGTTCTCAGTGTTCACTAATGTAAATTTAGCTGACTAGCATGCTAATATTTGCTAAATAACACAACAGCAAAGGCTTACGAGTGTGATGGACCACCAAACAGACCGATATTTAAATCCATATATGGATATTTGACCAAATGTGTTGTAATTACAAATCACATGTTTATGTCTCTCTAGCCTTTGGACTGACTGCTGACTCAGTCTTACCCTAAATGGTGAATGTCAGAACATGCCTTACACTCATCTGTCTACCAACACAGAAAACAAAGAAGCTTTCAATAACTTCTAATTGTGAAAGTTCTTCAAAAATAGCCTTCAAACAATATATAGGGAGTAATGAATGACTCAACCATTATGATTGTTTTCTGAGGTTGGTTGAAAAGCAAGTAGAGGTTATAGCAAAGAAATGTCAGGAAGATGCAGTAGGCTACTTCAGTTAACTACGATCTGATCAGTCACGTCCTCTCTAGCTTTCTCAACTGATTTCCATCTCTGTCTCACTAAACCTCCACGTTTTTCTGTCTCGATTCTTCATCTCCCCCCCCCCCCTTCCCTCTACGTCTCTGAGCATATTTCCTCTTCAATGCCATGGTCCTTTTTTCTCATCTTTTTCTTCCACAAAGGGAGGGAGTCGTTACATAAACCTGTTGTTTTCGTCATCCTGTGACTACGGAACTGAACTCACTCTGACGCATCAATATTATGATTGCACAAAAGCATATACAGTACCCTCTCAATAACTGAGCTGCGGTAA